CGCGCACGGCGATATAACTGGGGATAGGCCGCCGGCCCGGGGCTCGCGTCGGGCCCGGCAGCCGCGGCGCGCTTCGGCCCCGCTGTAGCGCTGCAGCAGGCGCCGGCGTAGCCCGTCAGCAGGGTGCCCCCCCCCATAAGAAGAGAACGTTGCTTCCAGGGAAAACGGGGGGATTGCGCCGAGCCGCCCGCCCCGCGCGCGGGCGAAACCCAATCTCGCAGCGGGCGAACCTGGAATGCGTGCGCGGCCCCAGGATATCCCGCGCGCGCCGCAGCCCTTCCCTCCAAGCATCATTCCCGCAGAAACTTGGCCCCCAGACGAGCGGAATCCTGCCCGCGAAGGGACCGGAATCAACTGCTCGCCTATAATCTAATCCACTGTAACCTCAACCACTCAAACTGCAAACCTCATTCTGATACCTACCAGCGCTCAAGATGTGCCGCGCGCGTTCGCCTGCGTCGAAGTCGTCGGCGGCGTCGCCCGTGAGCGGGTCGAAGGCCGCGTGATCACGTGTCTCGGGGCATGGGCATAGAAAACTTACCTTCTTGTAGCGGATGACGCCGGCCGATCCCACTCTAATCTGTCCAGGGCGCGCTTCAACGAACAATATCACGATAGCTGGGTGGCCGTTCTCGGTGGAGCAATAATCAGGAAGAAGGGGCCGAACGGTCATTCGCTGGCACTTGGGCGTGGCTGAAATTGGGTGCCGCGGTGCGGATGGTTGTTGTTTTCGCCGCCCCGCTCGCGCCCCGGCCCGTGCCCCGCCCGCGATCCGCCCGCGACCCGCCCGCGACCCGCCCGCGACCCGCGCAGCGACCCGCCCCGCGACCCGCTCGCGACCCGCCAGCGACCCACCCCGCGCCCGCCCCGTACATCCGAAACTGCGAAGTGCTATACGCACGGTTGCTGATGGTCCCAGGTGGGGCGAAAGCCTCCAGCGCTACTCGAAACGACATGATCTGCCAATCTCGTTCCCGAAACATACGCTCTACCACCTGACGTGACCTCTCATGATCAGTGCTGTAGAGCTGTCGGCGGCGCGCAGCCTCTTGGAGCGTGATTGCCCACTCTGCGTTTTCCACCATGAATAAGCCTGCTGCGCGAGAACGGCTGCTGCCCTCCTTCTATCCGGTAGACATCCGCGCCCGCGACTCCACGACTGGGTGGGCCCCTCTGGCGAATAAGCTCCTGGAGCACGCCTTCGCAATGGCGCGGGCCAGCATGGCGAAGCGCCCGCCCCGTTGCAACACTCCTCGGGGTTGCCCCTGCCGGTCTCGCATGAGTCGGCGAAGGCCCAAGACAAGGGTAGCCTTTCACATCCTCGTATTCTTTCATCTGGAACCACAACGCGACTTGCACGAGGTTAGCGGCCGACGTCTCCCGCTCTTCGCACCCCGCCCCGGGCGCGCGTTGTTCTGCCTGCTCATGTTTATCCAGTTCGGGAGCATGTCCGCGCGCAGGAAGCCCGCGCTGCGCAGCTGTCACGAAGTGCCGCTCGCCAGCACCTAAGCCGCCATGCCTCGTTCATGAGAGCGCTGATCTCCTCCTCGATCTCTTCTGAGAGCGCTGTCTCGCATCACTCGGGCAGTTCGCGCATTAGGCGGGCCACGCTACCAGCTCAACAATTCGAGCCAGAGCACCTCCCTCCTCGCCCTCTAGCTGCATTCTAGATGACCATTCGCTACTCAATCGCGCCACTGGTCGCCAACTGTCGGTAATTGCGTCGTCGAGGTCCTCGTCGGTCCCGCGCAATCAACATAGCCATTCTGTGCACCTCATGAGAATCCTTATTCCCTCTTGCCTCCTCACATGCTCGTGCTATATCCTCCCGAACTCCGTCCCAATGGTATTTCTTGTGCTGCCTCAACCAAGTGCTGTAAGTAGCGATGCAGATCGCCATCTGAAGCTACACCATATCATCATAGTCAGGCCCATGCGAAGTGTTCTCCTCGATGCCCCATCGTGTTGACTTGGCGTATTCAACGTGACTCTCCGTGTAGCCTTCATTCTTAATACTTGTAGCGTTGGTTCCCTGGTTCAATGCATCGACCAGCACGTCGTCCGCCTCAACCGTTTACGCGTATCCCGTGTGACCCAACCATGCTGCCAGTTGACGAATAACGTGATGTGCCTTCTGCACGGACACATTCCTTGAACATCTCGTCTGCAACAGAGCGGTGGTTGCTGTCGGCCTAGTCCTCTCGATATTTTGAAGTTGCTGCGGTGTGGTGGTACATGAGCCCATTCTCTACCCCATCGGTACGGCTGTATACGTCGTGCGATATTCCTGGAAGTTGTGCGCCATTTGACAGAGGCCAGCAATGCACCCAGTAGTCCAATGCAGACAAAATTCAAATCCATCGGAAGTACTGGTACCCATCGTCCTGCCAGATCGCCAAGCGCACGTAAACCACCGCACCACATTCTCACAGCAATTCAGGTATTTGATTTGCTGGGCCTTCTCCTGTGTGCGGGGGAGGGGGGAATACATCGATACGCAAGCAACTCTCACCGCCTCCCTTTCCGTTGTGCAGCAAAGCGCGCCCCCCTGAAGTCCTTTCGGTGGGGTGCTGTAGCCTCCAATACTGTTTGTCATAGATCCAGACTTCCATCCCTCAGTGCATCCCCAGAAAGACAGACGAGCATTGAGGAGTTTCCCTCTGTCCTGTCCCTCTTGCGCAGCTCGTCTCGTATATCCTGGGCGCGCTGGCGGATGGCACTGTGCGGTTTGTAAGCGGCCACGCCTACATGCCTCCCAAAAGCGCCGCTGAATTCACGGTCGTGGCAATACTGCTCCTCATGCTACTGGCATGTCTACAAATTCTGACTGAAGTGGCAGTAAAACCTTGACCTGTCAGACGGCCACGTGGGTGAGGATACGGGGGAGGAGGCGGAAGCGGCGGATCTGGATGGGGGAGGACAGGGAGGTGGGAGGAAGGGGGGGAAGAGCCTCATTGCAATCGTTCAAAATCTCTGCTCGCCCCAGGCTCACACCCTCCCACGCCCAGCCAGCCTGCAGCTGGCGAACGCACTCCGCGAAGGGCCGGAGGATGCCTGTCATCTGCACGCTCACGAAGTCCTCCGCCGCGCGACAGCGGCGAGCCGGTTGCAGAACGCACCCAGGAGCGAGGGCAAGGAGGGAGGGAGGGGGGGCAGCAGACCGCACGAGCGATACGAGTCCGATTTCGATTCCTCCTCGTCCCTCCTCCTCCTCCTGCTCTTTGTCGTCCTCCTCCTCCTCCTCCTCCTCCTGCTGCTCCTCCTCCTCCTCCTCCTCCTCCTCCTCCTCCTCCTCCTCGTCCTCCTCCTCCTCCTCCTTCCTTCCCTTCTTCCGCCGCCTCCTCCTCGAGGACCCTTTAATCGGGGCTTCGCTGAAAAAAAAGCACCTCCAATTTCGCCCCATTTTGACAACATCGGAGCCCCCCTGAGGGCACGAGGCGCGCTGCCTGGCCACGGCGGGTGTCCCTTGGCCAACTGAACCGAGCAGACAAGGCAAATATGGTGATAATAGATAACGGAAACACCAAATTCGGAAGAATGAGGAGGGGGGAGGGGGGCACCCGTGCAATCAGAAAACCAGTTCGGGTAAGCTGGCCCGAAGGCGCTTTGGAGTGCACCACAGCTGAAGCCAACACCAAAACTGACGTGTACAGAAAAGAAACGGACCCACCCTGCAGGCTCGGTTGACAGCACATCGTTGAGCGGTGCTGCAGCCTCCATTTAATACAGGCCCCCCAGAGCAGCAACCCGACCAATCAAAATTGCACCCTCACGCCTGGCTGAACTCCGGGCGCGTTCCAGCACTACCACTGCCGCCGCCACCCCTCGTCAAGGCCACCGACTCGGATGACGGCGACATCGGCAGTGGCGGTGGCCGACGCGTCGCTGCGTGGCGGCGTGCAAAGCCCGACTGCGAGGAGTTCAGGATCCTCCGAACTGGACGGGGGAAATGAAAAGGAACGCCCCCTGGATGAGGAGGAGGAGGAGGAGCAGGAGGAGAAAGAGGAGGAGGAGGAGGAGGAGGAGGAGGAGGAGGAGAAACGAGGGGGAGGAGGAGAACGAAACTGGGTGAGGAAATTCAAGCGAGGGGGGGGGAGGGGAGGAGGAGGAGGAGGAGGAGGAGGAGGAGGAGGAGAGGAGAGAAGGAGGAGGGGGGGAGGAGGAGGAGGAGAAGGAGGAGGAGGAGAAGGAGGGAGGACGAGGCAGAAGAAGAAAAAGAAGAGGAGGAGAAGGAACAGGAGGAGAAGGCAAAGGATGGAGGAGACGACGGCTGGAGATAGTCAGCCCCCTCGGCGACCCCCTTGCCAACAGCGGCTCGATTCGGCGCCTCGCGGCGCCGTGTCTGGCGGACGCGCAGCGCGCAGCGCGCGCAGGGACGCCCTGCCCCTCACCCATGCCTCCCGCTCCTCCCACCCCCTCCCACTCTCCACCTCCTCCTCCCTCCTCCCTCCTCCTCCTCCTGCCTCCTCTTCCCTCTTCCCTCCTCCTCCCCCCTCCTCCTCTCCCTCCTCCCTGCCTCCCCTTCCCTCTTCTCTCCCTCCTCCCTCCTCCCTCCTCTCCCTCCTCCTCTTCCTCCTCCCCCCACTCCTCCTCCTCTTCCTCCTCTTCCTCCTCCTCCCACCTCCTCCTCCTCCCCCTCCTCCTCCTCCCTCCTCCCTGCCCTTCTGTCCTCCTCCCTCCTCCTCCTCCTCCTCCTCCTCCTCCTCTCCTCCTCCTCCTCCTCCTCCTCCTGCTACTCCTCTTCCTCCTCCTCCTCCTCCTCCTCCTCCTCCTCCTCCTCCTCCTCCTCCCTCTCCTCCTCCTCCTCCTCCTCCTCCTCCTCCTCCTTCTCCCCCTCCCTCCTCCTCCTCCGCCTCCGCCGCCCCTTTCTCCTCTTCCTCCTCCTCCCGAGGCGCAAGCCCGCAACAGCCGTCAGACCAGGTAGGCCCTCTCCCCCCGCGTGCGGGCCGAGCCCTGGCCGCCCCGCGCGGCGGCCGCCGCGCCCAGCGCGCCAGAGGCGGTCAGTGCCAGCAGCAGCACCAGGCCGGCCGTGCCGCGGGCGGGCCCACGGCCCCACGGGGCGCGCGGCGCGCCCTGGTCGGCCGCGAGCTCCTCCCGCCAGGGGGGGGGGGGGCTGGCGCCAGGCCGTGCGCGAGGGCACCGCTCGGGGGCGACGACGACGACGACGACGACGACGACGCCGGCGGCGGCGGCGACGGCGGCGGCGACGGCGGCGGCAGCGGCGACGACCGCTGGGGGCGCAGAGCCCGGGGGCGCCGATGTCCCAGACCTTCAGCGAGGCTCCCGGGCGAATCTGTGCATTGCCCGCCCCTGCGCTACTCGCCCCTTATCGTCGCCTCCGAACCGGTCCCCATGTGAGGGACAACGTTCGGGACCGGCTTGGGGGGGGGGAAGCATCGAGCTGGAATCAACGACGTCGTCGATAGTTCGGCGATCGGCCTTCGAAGGCGAAACCGCACGTTCCTGGGCGGGGTGGGCTATCGGGCCCCTGTCGGCGATGAGTGGGCGATTGGGGGCGATGCGTCCTGAGCCTATCCCCCCTGACGTTGTCTCTGACCATGGTCGGGGGACGAGGGGACGTAACGGTGGGGTACAGTCGGCCTTGATTGGACAGGACACGCGAGAGGACACAAGACCCTTCCGAGGGCCACATCGCCATAGGAGTGTAAAAAGGCACGTGTCGCGAGGCACAGGACACAAGGGTACCCTTGAGCTGGCAGGGCCGACCTACTGATCAGGGACGACTGCAGGGGCAGAGGTGGAATTGGAGGACGCTCGCTCTTGACGGCCCCTGGAAGAAGGACGTGTGAGCATCTCCTAGGGCTCCCAACTTCGCGCTTCGCGCTGCGCGAAGCGCGAAGCGCGAATAACTTCGCGCTCTCGCGCCGCCCTCCCAAAGGGAGAATAGGAGGACGAGGAGGAGGGGGAGAAGGAACGAGGACCGCGAAGCGCGAAGCGCGAATAACTTCGCGCCCTCGAGGGAGCCCTTGCATCTCGCCTCATTCCCCGACCCCCCACTGGGCGACGAAACCAAGGCTCTTACGCGACATGACAGGACGACCTTGCGCGGTGCCCTGCGCAGGCCGCCAGCGAGGAACGCTGCATTGGAAACGATGTCGTCTACGCGCGACCTCACGCGGGCAACGTGCGCGCAGTGTCCGCGCAGTCGAGACCAGTTTTCCCAACCCTCCTTTTGTGCTGGGTCCTGGTCTTGAAATCGCAGCGCCGCGCGTCACCTTCCTTCCCTACTTCCTCCTCCCCCTTTTTCCTCCTTTTCATCTTCTTGGTCCTCATGCTCCCTCTTCTCATCACCGCAACCATGACCATCATTATCATCATCATCATCATCATCATCATCATCATCATCATCATCATCATCATCATCATCATCATCATCATCATCATCATCATCCCTACCATCGTCATCCTCAACACTTCGGACGGCGCACCTCTCGCCCATTTCGTGGCTCCATAGTGAGCTCCACTGAAGGCCCCAGTGGCTGCGGTTGCATGCGGCCCCGCCCCATTTCGGCCTACAATTTTCACGTTTCGTGGCCCCATGAGGAGCCCCACCGAAGGCCTCAGTGGCTGCGGTCGCATGTGGCCTCGCTCCATATCGGCGCACCACTCACAATCTTCGTGGCCCCATGAGCCGACCGCCCTAGTGGCTGCGGTCGCATGCGGCCCCGCCCCGTCTCGGCTCACCCCTTCACACGCTTGGTGGCCCCATCACCGAAAGCCTCAGAGGCCACGAAGCGTGTCGTGGCCCGATAGGAAGCTCCACCGAAGGCCTCAGTGGCTGCGGTCGCATGCGGCCCGCCACATGTCCGTACGGCGTGGAGCAGTCCTCTTTATCGCCGCCACTCGTTCACCAAGGGTTTGGTTCTTCGCCAGGCTAATTCTGCGTCGTTCATCTTGGGAGAACCCCCTTCATCCATGTACCGCTGACAAGGGCCAGCACACGTCCGGGTTGGCCAGGGCCTGTCGCGGAGCCTGGCCGGGCGCTCAGTGGCTCCTGAACCTGGGTCAGCGGAGGGTGGCAAAGGGGGAATCGGGCCCACGTGGCCCCCAACCTCTCGAGTCAGCCAGAGGGGAGGGCTGGAGATCCACTCCGATAATAAGTACCCCGACAACGCAACCGTTTAGTAAACGCCCCCGGCGAAGAAATCGAACAAGAACGCGCTGTTTAGTAAACGCACGGGACCATTCAGCAAACGCCGATTATGGGGGTCGGGGTGGATTTGCCCTCGTTGACAGAGGGGATTGGGCGACCCCCATCAGAGCCCTGACGACAAGGGCCGGGGCCCAGACCAGGGGCCCATGACCAGGCTGCCCGTGTGTGGGCCCTCTGGCCTGGCCAGGGAGGCGCGCGCTCCGCGATCCTGGGGCCCAGGGCTGGCGGCCAGGAGCGGCGCAGGCGCAGCAGTGTTCGGTTGGCGCCCTCTGGAGCGATGGGGGCTGACCACTGCCACCGCCTGCGTAGTGCAGGAACTGCGGCTTCGTGGAGGAGGAGGAGGAGGAGGAGGAGGAGGAGGAGGAGGAGGAGGAGGAGGAGGAGGAGGGGCAGGAGGGGTGCAGGCCCGCAGGATTCCCCGCGAGGGCGCCCCGGCGAGCAAGCGCCACCAGCGCCCCCGAGCCCACCTCTGAAGCCCCCGCCCCCCTTCCAGGCGGTGAAGGCGGTGTGCAGCGGTGGCCCCCCCTCCTCCGATCCTGCACGCTCCAGTGCGACATCAGGTGCAGCTCGCTCCCGGCGGCAGCCGCCGTCGCATTCTCGGCCTCGTCCGCGGCCGCGGCAGCCGCGCCGGCGTGCTGGAGCATCTCCTCGCGCGTGGCCATCTGCTCGTCCGAGAAGCTGGCCACGGGGCGCGCCGCGTGTGAGGCCGCAGGCGGCGGGAGGGGGCAGTGGTGCGGGAACGCGAGGTGCAGCCACCGCGCGAACAGGCGGCCGTGCAGCGGCACGACGCCACCGTGGGCGGCAGCGATGCTGCGCAGCTGCGCCGCAAGGGCCCGCGGGAGGGCGGGCGTGCCGTCGTCCGCCGCCAGCGTGGGCGCAGCCACGTTCTCGACCAGCTCCAGCAGCTCGAGGGGGTCCAGCGCTGGCGAGCCAGCGGCGGCCTCAATCTCGCCAAGCAGGCCCTCGCAGTCGTCCATGCAGCAGACCTTGTAGTGCGACCCCGACACGATGCAGTTGGACTCCCCGTGCATGTAGTTGGTGATGATGACCTGCTTGCCGAGCCACCGCGAGCTCTCGTCCAGCACGCCAAGTCCCCGCAGGTATGCCTCCGACTCCCCGTAGCGCCACTCTGTGTCGAGCCCCGCGCCGTAGAACTTGGAGAGGGGCACGCGCCCGGTGCGGTAGGTGTCCATCTTGACCAAGCCCTCCTTCATGACCCTGCACTCGTCGTCCCAGAAACTCGCGAAGGACCTGGTGATCCCGGCCACGATGGCCCGGGCCTCCTGGAAGCTGTACTCCGCGCGAAGGGCGCCAGGCTGCATCGCCCGCTGGCGCCTGAAGTCCAGCGCCCTCACAGAGCCCCGCAGGAGGTCCGCGAGCGCGGCCCAGTGCGGGAAGCCGCTCTCGAGGATGGACCTGTTCGCGAGCAGCGCGTTAGCGGTCTCCCGGTCGCTGCCCATCATCCACTGCACCAGGTAGTGCTCCAGCGCCGTCTGCAGCTGCGCGCGGCCGATCCGGCCGTGCGGGGAGAGCGAGCAGTTCTCGTACGCCTCCTCCAGGAGGGCCTCCTCCTGGTCGGAGACGAGCCTTATCTGCCCCGATACGCGACTTGCAACCCGTAGTGCAACTTGCCACGGAGCTCAACGCGTACGCAGATTCAGCACGTAGGTCTGACGCGATACGTTCGTCAAAACATGAGCCAGCACGAGCGTGAGCCGTGTTGAGCACGGTGCGTGCTGCGTTCCAGCACGTGCGTATCAGGGCAGCTAAGAGACCAGCCGCTCCACCAGCAGCACCACGAGCGCCGCGTCCCGCGCGGAGAAGCCCCGCGGGGACGCGGCCTGCCCAGACGCCAGCGCCCCCCCGAGCTGCTCCAGCGCTCCGTCGCCGAAGGCCCCAGCGCCGCCCGCACGGCCGGCGGCTTGCGGCCAATACTGCTGGCTGGGCTCGAAGCCGCGAACCACCTCGGAAGAGAGGAAACAAAAAAGGCATCACCGAAGGGGCCCTGGGACACACAAATAAATACACACACACACATAACAGGATTCCCCATGTTTGTCAATATGTTCTGGGTTTTTGTCTGTCCCCCCACTTCCCATAGTTTCCATATTTTCCTTGGGATCGACGATGAATTGTGCCTGTGTGTTTTTCCCTTGATGAATCATTGGCACGCCGCCGCCGGGTGCTCGTCGGCGTGCTCCCAGACAGTCATCCATGTCAAAAAATAGTCCACTCAACAATTCAAGACGGGGCACGCAATCAACAGATATCCACATGTAAAAACAGACATTACACATTCGCTAAGAGATTACACCGATTCGCATGTCATTCGTGGCCCACTTAAGGGAACATTAGTATGTGTACAAAACAGAATGAAAGGGGCAAACGGTCCTACATGGTCTCGGGGTGCCTAGCGGAAAAATGGTTTCGAGGGTGGTGTGTTGTATTGATATTTCACCTGCAATTTCGGGGGCTTACGTATGAAAGTGGCACCCTCGGCCATGGTAACAATATGCTTCTGGCACACTGTTTTACAGCCAACGTTGCTCCCGTGCCAGCTGGCCTCACGAGGGTCGGCGAACTTGCGCCCCCAAAACCCGCGAGGTTCGGCAAACTCACCATCGACACGTTGCCTCTTGGCATGATCCCTCAGGCGTTTCGGCCCCAGGCTAGGATAGCAAGTTTGGAGCAGAGTGCGACACATGCCTGCTTCTGCTTCGGGCGACTCGGACACTTGGAGAGCCTTTCAGGGGCGCGCACAGTCTCTCGAGCGATGCTGTGCTGATTCCTCGTGGGGAATAACGTGACCCAGTCGTGGGAGAAGGAGCAGGCGATGCTCACATGTCGGAGTCGGATGCAGAGACGATTGAAGTGATCGAATCGCCGACGACCGTGCCAGATCACCTCGTCGAGGAGTGGAACAACATGAAAGACACCATCAACAGCATGCAGACAATCACGTCATCGTGGGTGGCAAGTATCCCAACACACCGTTTCTCAGAAACGTTGTTGGCGAACCTTGAGGATTTCCAGCTTCGACTCGCTTGCCTCGACTCGTCCACGCAGGTGGAGCCATCGATCAGCATCGTTTCTGACTGTGTCCATCGTTTGGGAGAGCTTCAAATCGAGTGGAACGCGTTGAAGCCCGCCGTGAAGCCTTTCTTGCCTGAGGTTCCGCCCATCGCTGAGGCGGGGGAGCCGCGGCGCCAGGTGAGAAGGCGCGCAGCCTAGGTGTAGCAATACAAGCAGAGCGCAGTCTAAGCAGCCAGCGCAGCTCACGTTTGGGACGGGCTTGGCGGTGGAGGGGCTTGCAAAATATAAAAAGATGGAGGGAGAACGGGGCAGGAGGAAGAGGTAGGGAGAACGGCAGCTGGCCATCGCTCGGACGTCCATTTCCTGCGTTGTAGACGTCACGGGCATAATGTTTCTCTTGTCGCCAGCTGATAATGGCTGACGCGAGGGAATCACTAGCGAGGGAACTCACACATGCCCCCGCGGTTGCGGATAAGAGCGACGGGGAGGGAGGGCGAGGGACAATGTAAGACCGTTCGGCCCCTCACCCTCGTTCGGATGTTATCATATATGGCACGCGCTGCACGCACATTTACACGCAACAGATGGATATTCACATATGCAGATGCAACTACTGCAGATTACAAGTTTGATGAATCATTGAACCTGCATGTGCAAAACTTAAGATATGTTACGTCGTTTACATGCTGATGTTAAGCTTCTATGTGAACTCAGCAAGTAAATCCACTGGCGACTACATACACACACACATATATATATATACACACATAAACTCAGACATTAAACATTTATGTATTTGCTTGCATCGGGTGAGCCTCTGGGTTCCTCCCTCGCTCTTGACCGGGAGGCCTGGTGCCTCTCCAGCGGGGCACGCGCGGCCGGGGGCGCCCCACGGCGGCGTGCCGTGGACTGCCCGTGCTCCCCGGCCAGGTGGGCCCGCCGGAGACGGCCGGCCGCGCCGCCCGCTCGGGGAGGGGCCCGTCCCCCCCGAGCGGCTCGCTCCTGCCGCCCCCCCCCCCGTTTGGCCGCGCCCACGTATTGAGCAGGCTCGAGCGATATCCACGTCTCCCCCTGAGCGGCTCGCTCCGCTCTGCTCGAGACGTCTTCGCTCGGACGCTCGCTCGAGCTTTCTCCATACGGGAAAGGGACCCGTCCCCCCTGAGCGGCTCGCTCCTTCCTCCCGCTCCTCCTCCTCCTGCACGGTGGCACGGGTCGCCCTCATGGCATCCCTTCGCCTGGGCCGGATCCATTCGCCGGCGCAGACGCCCCCTGCCTACCCTTGCGGGTGCCACGACAATGAACACCCTAACAGTCCTGTTATTGAATTAAAGATGTGTTTAAAATGTGTAAGACATGTTCTAAACATGTTTCAAACATGTGCTTTACATATTTGAAATAGCTTTGACACATCTTTTGGACATCTGGAAATGATCTGACAGCACGCTTCCTCTCCATTGATCGTCCTCCATAGGCCGAGCCGCCGACGCAAAAATTGTGCTCCACGACCATCGGGAGCGGCCAACAGGGGGGTGTCCAAGAGGGGGGGGTGCAAATCATGACCGGCGGCATGTGCGCGGCCCAGCGGGGGGGCCAGGGACGTAATGAAACAAGAAGAGGCGCCATGAAATCTGGGGAGATATCATGGCCCCCGCCATGATATCCACCCCTCCCTAGTCATCAACCCCCTCTTTTCCGCCCCCGAGACCACCAGGGCTGACGCCCTCGAGAAGTGCCGCCGCACCACGAGGCGCAGCGTCTGCGCCTCGAGGAGCCCCGCGCCGTTCTTCGGCAGCGACCGCCACGTCGCGGCCAGGGCGCCCTCCAACTCCGCCAGGCGTGCGCCCTCGGCGAGACCCAGGGCGAGGGTCGGGGAACAAAACAATGGCATAAACATACATTTTCGAAGTCCGCGCTGGATCTGGACCAGCCAGGGAGACGTAAGACTCGGGCACGGGGCACTCGGGTTGGCCTGACGGGGCCATCCTGAAAATGACGAGATTTAATCTGAAATTTGACGCGAGCTCCCGCTGCAGATCTCCCGAAGAAACTGGACCGTCAAGATCCGGAACGCGCTCGTCCAAAAACGATGGCAAACCGGAGATTCTGGCTCACTCGAGTCTCACGCTTCCCCGAGCCAGGGGCGGCGCCGGAGGCGCCGCCGGGGGGGGCCCAACGCCGATCCAAGACATCCGCGCGGACCTCCTTGCCGTCGCTCGGACGTCCATTTCCCGTTCATTTTTCGGTATCGTGCGTGTGTTTTTTGTTCGATGGTCCAGGATGGTCCTCGATGGTCCTCGCCGAGAAAAAATGCGCACGTCCGAGCGATGCCAGGCCTCCGAAGATCGATGCTTGTGCCACGCGTTGCTCCTCGAGAGCGCGGCGTCGATGGCGCCCCGGACGTCGCTCCAGACCCCGCCAGCTCCCTCGCGCTGCTGCTGGAGGAAGCCCGCTCCCCGCGCCTGGGCCTGATTACCAGCCTCGAACGTATCCCTATCCCTAAGATTGGCACGCCAAAAGGCGATGACAATCTTAGGGATTCGCCCAAGAAATAAGGGAATCCCTAAGATTGGCATCGTGATGAGGAGGTGCCCAGCATAGTGATAGGGATATGTTTCAGGCTGGTAACCTGAGGCGGGCCCAGCAGGAAGGCCACGGAAGCCACGGCGGCGGCGAGGGTGCGCGCGGAGGCCATGGACGCCCCGTGCTGGCCGGCAGCCGCTGGGGGGTGCAGAGTGGTAGTACGTTAACCCGGGGGGGGATTCCCGGGGGGGTTCGATAGGCTGTCGGTTGGAACCGTAATCTTACGCCGAGATGGCCCGGAGGAGGTGAGGAAGAGGAAGGGGGGGGGGGCTCGCGCATCCGCACCAAAACTCTCGTCAGCTCGCTTCCGTGGGCCCGTGGGGCCTGAAACGGCTGCAGAACGTCTCAAAATAGCTCCGGGTGGCCCCAAGACGGACGGCCCCACATGGCCTCTAGACGGCCCGAGGTAACCTCCATACGTTGCAAGACGGCCCATCATGGCCCCAAGAGGTCCCTGGTTCGGCCAAAGAGGGCCCCAAGAGACCCTCCAGGACGCCCCGAAAAGCCCAGCTTACAGATGTCCCATATGTCGTTGATGACTATTGGCGTTCTGGCCGATCGGGCGTCTGGCAAGCCTAGAGGCCTCCCAGATAACCCTAACACGGCCGACGAGGCTCGCAGGAGGGCCCCAGAACCACGCACGAAGGGGCCCCCAAGACGATTTCAACATCTTTACCTCCAGGGAGGCCCTGCAACGCCTGATGACTGCCCAAAGAGGTCACCAAGACTGCTTCCGCAAGTATCATACGGGCCAAGAGCGCGTTCGCACGGCCCACGAACTCCACCAGAGGCCGGAGGAGGCCCCCCAAACGGCCCCAAATATGGCCCCCAAGAGGCCACCCCAGAGGATACCAAGAGGACAAAGAGGTCTCCTTTTCCTCCTGTTCGTCCTCTTTTTCATTCCTATCTTCGTTTTTGTTCCCATTCATCCTCCCCCCCGGCGGCCCCACATCATACTCAAATGCGGCATTGTTGGGCGAATGTCCTGACACGGGGCCCGCCCCGGCTTTCGCACCGCGAGCTCCAAATCCCCCCACCAACCTCTCCCCCATGAATGTCTGCCCCTGGCCCTGTGACTTCCAAAGGGATCTAGCCCTGTGCCCTAAAGGTAAATCCAATGTCGGAGGCTGGGGGGTGTGAACGGAAGTGGCCCCAACCGGGAAATCGGTTTCGGTTTTGGTTCGCGTCGTGCGTGCGGGCGAGGCGAAGGTGCGCGAGTTCCTGCATTGGTAGGGGCCACATGGAACCCAGAGGGCCGCCCCTCCCCCGGGCGGGCGCGCGTCCCGCGATTGTCCCGCGGTTGTCTCGTGGTTGTCCCGCGGTTGTCCCGCGATTGTCCCGTGGTTGTCCCCATGGTTGTCCCGCGGTTGCCCCGCAGTTGTCCCGATGGTTGTCCCGATGGCTGTCCCGATGGTTGCCCCGATGGTTGCCCCGGTGTGTGTCCCCATGGTTGGCCCGACGGTTGTCCCGATGGTTGTCCCGATGGTTGTCCCGATGGATAATGGTTGTCCCGGTGGGTGTCCCGATGGTTGACTCGATGGTTGTCCCGATGGGTGTCCCGATGGGTGTCCCGGTGGGTGCCCCGAAGGTTGTCCTAGAATGATGGATTCACAAACGCCATTAGCACCACCACCACCACCATCACTCCGCAGACATTTGTACTCAAGCCGCATCGCCCTGCAGAGGGCTGCCAGCATCGACGCCGCAACGGCATGTCGCCGCGGACTGGGCCGTGCCGACTCACGGCGACAGGCTCTGCCAGCGCCAGGCCATGCTCTGGCTCGCGCCTGGTGAAGCAGCGTTACTCGCACAGCGTGATCTCCCGCGCTGGGTTCGCAGATCTCAGCCGCGCCCACGCGATGACGGGCGAGCAGCTGTTCCAAGCTCTCGAGAAAGTTCCGGGCGCGAGGTGCGTCGAATGGAACGCGTCGAAGACCGCGCAGGGCAACGTCGGCAAGCGCGAGCAGGAGAGCAACTGTCTGGCCCACTCAGAGCACGGCGACCCCATCGAGCTTTTCGAGTTTGAGGCGACTCGGAACCAGCACTCGAAAGACAGGAGATCGCCTTACACAAAAACGGCGATGTTCGATGATCCGCCGCAGGACATGGCGGATCTTGCGCGCAGCTGTGAAAGGCAAGGAGCTGTTGCCAGAGGTCGTGCGCCAGTACATGATGGGCAGCTTGGCGCGGCTTGGCGGAGCGCCTGCCGGCGCACCTGCCTCACAAGGCGCGGCGGCCGACGCGGACGCCGCGCAGGTTGCCCTGGCCGCGCCGCAAATGCAGAAGAGGGCGCGGGCGCGCGCGGCTCCGCTTGCAAGCCGGCAGCACTTGGGGCGGCTGCCCTAGGCTCTGCCAGCCCAGCCCAGGGCGCAGGAACAGCGCCACCGCCGCGTCCGCGGCATCCGTGGAGCGTCGCGCCGCCGCTGGCGTCGCAGTCTAAGCTGTGCCCGCCGTGGTTCGCCGCGGGTGTAGCGGCGCCGTCGGCTCCGTCGGCCGCGGCTCCGTCGGCGCGCGGACGCTGCCCTCCCCTCTCTGCGCCGGATGCGGGGGGGCCAATGTCGGCGCGCCCGCCGCCCTCTCTCGAGGCCGACGCGGAGACGGTCTCGAAGAAGAGCGAGACCAGCGAGCCAGCGGCGGAGGCCGCGCAGGGCGCCCTCGCCCCGCCGCAAGGGGGAGAGGCCGTGGCCGCGCTGAGCACTGCCAGCAAGCCAGCGGCAGCGGAGACCGCGCTGGGCGCCCTCGCTCCGCCGCAGGGGCCTGCAGAAGAGGCCGCGGCCGCGCCGGGCTCCGCCAGCAGGCCGACGGCGGTGGCTCTGCCAGCGAGCGCGCTGCAAAACCTCACGGGGGCGTTTGCCGCTGGGAACTACGATGAAGAAACTAGCGATTGGGGTGGCCCCGACGACGCAGCGTAAGAAGATGCTGGCATCGAGAGCACCGCGGAGTTCGCCGAGGACCTGCAGGGGCCAGTCTCTGACAGCGCTTCATCCGACGCGCGCGCGGCTGCCGATCATGCTGCGGCGCGCACGGACGCGCTGCATTCGCTCCTGCAGCTGGGGCGGCAGCCGAGCTGGCCGAGGTGCAGGCCACCAAAGAGCGGGAGGTTGAACACGCTTACCATCGCTGCGCTGCGGCTTGCCCGACGGGCGCAGCCATCCAGGCGGCCCTGCAGGGCGCTGCAGGAGGAGGGGGGCGAAGGGGGGGGGGGGGGGGCGAGGGCCGGGGGCGCGGGCGGGGGGGGCGGCCAAGAGGGCCGTGACAAGAAGACGCCGCTGGCAGTTCTGCGCCAGTTGGTTTCGGAGGGGCCGGGGGCGGGGGCGGGGGGGGCAGGGGGGGGCGAGAGGGAGTAGGGCGAATGCGACGGCGAGGGCGGGGAAACGCAGTAGGACCTGGAAGAGGCAAGAGCGGGAGGGAGGAGGGCGGGGGGCACTTGCGAAGCATGCTGTCCACAGCGCGTTTGGGGCCCTTGGCGGCGAAGGCCGAGTTGGAGCGGTCGCCAGGCTCTGCCAGCGATGGCGATCAGGAGTTCATGGTCGCTGCCAACGGGCGCAGTTTGTGGGCCGCGAATCTCATCCAGAGCCGAGACCAGTCTGCGCGCCCTTGGGGGCAGCACTCGGAATTGCTGGGGGACCTTCCTGAGACCTGCGGGCGCAAGCACGGCGAGCAGCGCATCAACTCCGCGCAGGGTCGCGCGCAGTTGCTTGCGGGCCTGGCGAAGAAGCACTCAGGCGAACTCGCCGAGCTGGATCGCAGGCCCCCCCACGGCGCGGGGCTCTGCCGGCGCCGCGCCCCCTCGGAGAAGCGCGCAATGGCACTGCCACGACGGCGGCGCGCCCGCGGGGAACGTGGGCCCCGAACCCGGCTGTCACTGCAACGTTCGCGAGATCGCACTCCAAATGGATGAGCAGGTCCTGGGCGTGGCGTCTGGCGTCCGCGCCGAATATCTCTGGCCAAACTGGCATGCTCAGGTCACGCGCGCCCCATGCCGTGGGACCGCGGCCTTCGGGTGGCGCCGCGCCAGGGCGGCGGTCACTCTGGGGGGGCCCACGCGGGCTCGCGGAAAGAACATCACGGGGGAGCAAGTGTATCACTTCTACCGCGCCCTCCGAATCGTGGCCCTGAAGCGGGCCAGGGCCTCCAGGTCGCTGGGCTCTGGCAACGGCGCTGGCGGCGCGGCGGGGGGCGGGCTCCGGGCGACGCATTTGCGGGCGCACCTCGGTTTCAATGATGTGATCAGCTCACGAAGGGGCGCTCGGCCGCCATTGGCGCTAGGATGGAAACGCGCCGGTTTTCTTCTCCGAGGCAGTTCGCTGCGTCAATGCGAGCGCCCAGCGGGGCATGCGCCCGCCGCGGCTGGGGCGCTCGCTCCCCCAGGCTCTGCCCGCGACCGTCGCGCTGTCGAAATGCGCGGGGCTGCGTTTCTTGACGTGGGGCGCCAGTCTCGCGAACACTGCGTTCGGCCCACTAGTTGTGGGTGAGCTCGTTCGCATCGCAGAGAGCGTCGGCCTTCTGTTCAGAGGTGTCGTCGCGCGGCCACTGCGCGCGCGGCCATTGCCCCTGGGGGCGCGCGCATGGCCGTGGCCCCCGCGTCACGCATCTTCCACGGAGGGGCGGGGCGCCGGGAGCACATGCACCGCGAGTGCGCAGAGCGGAGCGGCGGCGCGCCAGTCTCTGACATCGCGCCACTGCGGGTTCTGTTTCTGAGTTGTCTCACCGTGGGGGGGGGGCGGGACTTTCTCGCGCGGGCGAAGCCCTTGCGCGCGGTCGTGCGCGCGCCGCCGGACACGCGGGGCTGGGGCGCCCCCGATGGCGGACAGCCCTCGGCAGCGCTGGGAAGCGGCCCGGACTGGCAGGAGCTCCAGGGCCGAAGCCACTGGCGCTGCGACAAAACCGACAATGACCAGATATGGCGCCACTCAGCGCCTTTTCGCGGCACGCTAGGGGACGAACCCCAGTGGCAACAGGGTTGCGCCAGGCCCTGACGACGACGACGGCGACGACGACGACGACGTGGATGATGATGCTGGGACTGCTGGTGGTGATGAGGGTGACGGTGATTATGGTGATGGTGATGGTGAGCGCGACGACGACGACGATGCCGTCGGCCGCCCGCTT